CATGTTTCTCAGAAATTTCTATCGAGAACTGCCATTTTGTCAATCAATTGGCAGACTTCAGGGAGAAGTTCCTTGATTTAATTCAAGGAATAGACTCAAAGTTCCTTAGTCAGATCAGTAAGTCATGTTCAAGGCAAGAATTTTCATGTTAAAGGTTGTTATAATTCTCAAGTCATTGTTAAAGTAACGGTTCCCGGTGTATAAGAGTCAATAGTCCGGGTTACCATGGAGGCTTGAAATAAGAGCCACTCAGCCGGGTATACCATGGAGGCTTGAAACTGGGGCCGAATCAGTAAGATTTCAGGTAATAACAACCTTTCAAGTTAGTCATGTCAGATATTTAATCAGTCATGCTATTTTAAGTTATGACTTTCAGAAGTCAAGATCAGCTAATTATTTTGTACTTGCGGGACCAGTTGATACTGAAGCAGCCCTATACAGTACAGAGTTCGCGTTCACGATTTACAGTTATGTTCATGATATAAGGTCGACGTATAATAGTTGTTCAGCCGGGAAAAAGGTAGCGGTCTGATATACAGACCATTAGTCCAAGATTTACCTGGAAACTTGAAGTCGTACCTTATCAAGTCAAGTAAGTCAGTAAATATCACGGTTTCAGTCTCGAAGTGACTATTTAAGTTGTCTCGGGATAGTTTTCAGAGTTCGAACAATAGATGATTCAGCCATATGAGAGTCAAGTCATGGTTTTTCAGCCATGAGAGTATTCAGGTCAGTCATGACAAGATCGAGGATAGTCTGTCTGGTAAGACAAGACTTATCCACTATTTTCAGTATGTCAGCGCCCTGATTCTCAAATTCTGAAGAATCTGAGAAATCGTGGAGATATTAAGTCATGAGGAACTTCTTCTTGAGGTTAAGTATAACCTCGGAGGGAGTAAAAAGTTGCAGGTATTGCAGGTTGACATTCGCCGCGATGAAGAAGAGACAGTCAACAACAACGGATCGTGCCATAATGATAAATCGACGCTTTCCATTAAAGGATGCCATGTCTACGTCTCAGTACACGGGGGGGAGATTGCGAAGAGAGTCTTCACCACCAGCATTCTGATCGGAGATCCGCCAGCAGCCAGAAGAGGACGACCAACATATTTCAGAGTTTCGTTGTGAAACCATGTCTTATCAGTGGGACACTTTCTTTTAGAAAGTGTCCATCTTCAGTCAACAGTATTTTACAATTCACTTAATTGTGAATTGATGTATCTTCAGTTCAGATCAAGTATCTTATTCAGTACCAAATTACTGAATTCTCTAGTCATGTAATCAGTAAGTATAAGCTTTAAGTTAAGCTTGTACATTCCAGTTGTATTGTTCTCAAGGAGCTCAAGAGGAGATTAACTTGAGCACCAGCGTTGATCATTCCCGATCCTTCTCGGAGTTTCACTATCTTTAGCAATGCTTCGAGGCAGGGCCTGGGATGTGTCCTTACGTAGGACGGACAGGTCATTGCGTATGCTTCACGTCAGTTTAAGCCTCATTAGTAGAACTATCCTACGCACGACTTAGAGTTAGCCGCAGTCGTCCACGCCCTGAAGATTTGACGACATTAACTCTACGGCGGACACTGCGAGATATTCACAGACCATGAGAGCCTACAATACATCTTTACACGGAAGGAGTTCAATATGAGGCAGCATAGTTGGCTCGAATTGGTCAAAGATTATGATTGTTCTATTCAGTACCATCCGGGGAAGACGAACGTCGTCGCAGATGCCTAAGCCGAAAGGTGACGGGAGACTTGACGTACGTCATCACCCAGCAGAGTCCATTGATTCATGAGTTCACCCGAATGCAGCTTTAGGCGATTGATGCACTCCCCATAGCCGTCTCGGGGAGCACTAGTGCCAGTGTCAGTGCTAAGCAGCTTCAGCCGACACTGAGAGAGAGGATCCGGCGAGAGCAGGCTTCTGACGAGTTTGTGCGTGTCATGGAGGCCAAGGTTCGCGCCGGAGAAGTACGG